CTACATAGAAGCAAATGAAAATGAAAACATGACCATCCCAAACCTGTGGTATGCACCAAAGGCATCCCTAAGAGGGAAGTACAGTGTATTGTGATACAGGGCTACTTTAAAAAGTAAGAAAGGTCTCATGTACACAATCTAACTTTACACCTAAAGTATCTAGAAAAGGAGTCATAAATAAAGCTAGAATAAAATAGTAGTTATTTTAAGTAAATAATAAAATAGTAACAATACCAATAATAATATAAATAAATAATAATAATAAATAAAATAAATACACACAAAAAACTAGAGCAGAAAAATAACAAAGAAACAAACAAACAAAAACAGTAGAACAGATCAAGCAAAGTAAGATTTGATGGTTCTTTGAAAGATATGGTTTTTTGAAAGAATTGATACAATTGAGGAACCCCTAGCCAGATTTAGCAAATAGAAAAGAGAAAGGACCCAAATAAATAAAATCATGAATGGAAGTGGATAGTTCATAACAAACACCACAGAAATAAAATTATAAGAGAATGCTATGAAAAATTATATGTGGACAAATTGGGCAATCTGGAAGAAATGGATAAATTCCTAGAAACATACAAACTATCAAAAACATACAAACTGTCAAAACTGAAACAGGAAGAAATAGAAAGTTTGAAAAGACCTATAATCACCAAAGAAATTTAATAAAAGTAATATAAAATCTCCCAACAAACTAAAGTCCAGTGTCAGATGGCTTCCAAGGGGGAATTCAAGCAGACAAAGAAGAGTTAGCACCTATTCTTCTCAAACTATTCCAAAATTTAGAAATGGAAGGAAAACTCCCAAACTGTCTATGAAGCTAGCATTACCTAGAGTCAAAACAGACAGTCTCCACTAAAAAGGAAAATTTCAAGTTAATATCCTGATGAAACTGGATGAGAAAACATTCTCAAAACGATACTAGCAAATTGAATTCAACAGTACACTTAAAGAAGTATTCACCATGACCAACTTGGAATTATTTTGGGGCTGCAGGAATCCTTCAAATTTTTTTTAATGTTTATTTATTTTTAGCAGAGTGAGAGAGACAGAGCATGAGTGGGAAAGGGGCAGAGAGAGAGGGAGACACAGAATCCGAAGCAGGCTCCAAGCTCTGAGCTGTCAGCACAGAGCATGACGTGGGGCTCAAACCCACAGACTGCGAGATCATGACCTGAGCTGAAGTCGGACGCTCAACAGACTGAGGCACCAAGGCATCCCAGGACTCCTTAATATTCAATCACTCAGTGCGATACACAACATTAATAAAAGAAAGAATTAGAACCATATAATCCTCTCAACAGATGCAGAAAAAGCATTTGACAAAATACAGTATCCTTCTTGATAAAAACCCTCAACAAAGTATGGGTACATGGAATACACCTCAACATCCTAAACGCCACAGATGAAAGACCCACAGCTAATATCATCCTCAATGGGGAAAACCGAGAGCCTTCCCCCTATGATCAAGAATAAGACAATGATGTCCACTCTCACGATTACTATTTAACATGGTACTAGAAGACTTAGCATCAGCAATTAAACAACAAGAAATAAAAAGCATCCAAATCTGCAAAGAAGTCAAACTTTCACTATTTGCAGACAGAAGATGTCCTATGCAGAAAATCCAAAAACTTCCATCAAAAAATTGTTAGAACTTGGGCGCCTCGTTGGCTCAGTCGGTTAAGCATCCAATCAATTCTTGGTTTTGGCTCAGGTCATGATCTCCTGGTTGGTAGGTTTGAGCCCCAGGTTGAGTTCTGTGCTGACAGCATGGAGCCTGCTTGGTATTCTGTCTCTCTCTCTCTGTCTCTCCTCTGCTCACTCTCTGTCTCTCTCTCTCTCTCTCTCTCTCAAAAGTGAATAAATAAACATTTTATTTTTATTTATTTATTTTTATTTTTTTTATTTATATACGAAATTTATTGCCAAATTGGTTTCCATACAACACCCAGTGCTCATCCCAAAAGGTGCCCTCCTCAATACCCACCACCCACCCTCTCCTCCCTCCCACCCCCCATCAACCCTCAGTTTGCTCTCAGTTCTCAACAGTCTCTTATGCTTTGGCTCTCTCCCACTCTAACCTCTTTTTTTTTTCCCCTTCCCCTCCCCCATGGGTTCCCGCTAAGTTTCTCAGGATCCACATAAGAGTGAAACCATATGGTATCTGTCTTTCTCTGTATGGCTTATTTCACTCAGCATCACACTCTCCAGTTCCATCCACGTTGCTACAAAAGGCCATATTTCATTTTTTCTCATTGCCACGTAGTACTCCATTGTGTATATGAACCACAATTTCTTTATCCATTCATCAGTTGATGGACATTTAGGCTCTTTCCATAATTTGGCTATTGTTGAGAGTGCTGCTATGAACATTGGGGTACAAGTGCCCCTATGCATCAGTACTCCTGTGTCCCTTGGATAAATTCCTAGCAGTGCTATTGCTGGGTCATAGGGTAGGTCTATTTTTAGTTTTCTGAGGAACCTCCACACTGCTTTCCAGAGCGGCTGCACCAATTTGCATTCCCACCAACAGTGCAAGAGGGTTCCCGTTTCTCCACATCCTCTCCAGCATCTATAGTCTCCTGATTTGTTCATTTTGGCCACTCTGACTGGCGTGAGGTGATACCTGAGTGTGGTTTTGATTTGTATTTCCCTGATAAGGAGCGACGCTGAACATCTTTTCATGTGCCTGTTGGCCATCCGGATGTCTTCTTTAGAGAAGTGTCTATTCATGTTTTCTGCCCATTTCTTCACTGGGTTATTTGCTTTTTGGGTGTGGAGTTTGGTGAGCTCTTAAAAATTGTTAGAACTAATAAACGAATTCAGCAAAGTCGCAGGATATAAAATCAACGTATAGAAATTTGTTGCATTTCTGTACATCAGTAACAAAGCAGCAGAAAAAAGAAACCAAAGACTCAATCCATTTTTCGACTGCGACAAAAATAATTAGGTAACTAGGAATAAACCTAACCCAAGAGGTAAAAAGTCTGTAGCCTGAAAGCAATAAAACACATAAAGAAATTGTCTCAGTCGGTTAAGCATCTGACTCTTCATTTAGGCACGGGTCATGATCTCACAGTTCATGTGTTCAAGCCCTGCATTCGGCTCTGTGCTGACAGTACAGAGCCAGCTTGGGATTCTTTCTCTCCCTCTCCCTCTGTCCCTCACCTTCTCATGCTCTCTCAATCACTCTCTCTCTCTTTCTCTCCCTTTCTCTCTCTCAAAGTAAATAAGCTTTAAATTTTTTAAAAAATAAAAAAAATGAAAAATAATATCATGTTCATGGATTGGAAAAGCTTATATTTTAAAATGTCTATATTACCCATAGCAATATACACATTTAATGCAATCCATTCAAAATACTCCACAATTTTTCACAGATAAAAAACAAGCAATCCTAAAATTTGTATGGAACCATAAAAGACCCTGAATAGCCAAAGCAATATTAACAAAGAAAAACAAAATTGGAGGCATAATGATTCTGAATTTCTAGCTATGTTGTAAAGATATACTCATCAAGACCATATGGTACTGGTACAAAAACAGACAAATAGATCAATGGAACAGAATAGAAAACCCAGAAACTGACCCATAACTTTAAGGTTAACTAATCTTCAACAAAGCAGGAAATAATATCCAATGGAAAAAAAAAAGACAGTCTCTTCAGTAAATGGTGTTTGGAAAAATGGACAGCAACATGCAGAAAAAGTTAAACTAGAATACTTTCTTAAACTATACACAAAAATAAGTTAAAAATGGATTAAAGACTTAAATTTGAGACAGAAAACCATAAAAATTCCAGAGGAGAATACAGGTAGCAAATTCTTTGACTTTGGCTGGAGCAACAGCTTATTAGACATGTTGCCAGAGACAAGGGAAACAAGAGCAAACATGAACTTTTGGGACTTCATCAAGATTAAAAGCTTCTACACAACAAAGGAAACAGCAAAACTAAATGACAGCCAAGGGAATGAAAGAAGATAGTTGGAAATGACATATCTGATAAAAAGGTAGAATCCAAAGTCTATAAATAACTTATCAAACTTAACCCTCCCAAAAAATAACCCAGTTATGAAGTGATCAGAAGACATAAATAGACATTTCTCCAAAGAAGACATCCAGAAGGCTATTAAACATGTGAAAAGATGCTCAACATCCCTCATCATCAGGAAAATACAAATCAAAACCTTGATGAGATTCTTCCTCACACCTGCCAGAATGGCAAAACTTAACAACACAAGAAACAACAGGTGTTGGCCAGGATGCTGAGCAAGAGGAAACCTCTTACACTATTGTTGGGAATGCCAAGTGGTGCAGCCACTCCAGAAAACAATATGAACGTTCCTTAAAAAGTTTAAAATAGGACACCCTATGATCCAGCAATCACACTAGTAAGTATTTACCAAAATGATACAAAAATATAGATTTAAAAGTGTACATATGCCCCAGTGATTATAGCAGCACTATCACCAATAGCCAAACTAAGGAGAGAAACCAAATGTCCATCGGAATGGTAAGGAAGACACGGTATATCCATAGAATGAAATATTACACAGCCATCAAAAAAATTGCAATTTGCAATAGTGTGGATGGAGCTACAGTGTATTATGTTAAGCAAACTGAGTCAGGGCACCAGGATGGCTGGTCCAATTCTTGATTTTGGCTTAGGTCATGATTTCATAGTCATGGGTTTGAACCTGCATTGGGCTCTGTGCTCACAGTGCAGAGCCTGCTTGGGATTCTCTCTCTCTGTCTCTCTCTCTCTCTGTCTCTCTTTCTCTTTCTTTCTCTCTCTCTCTGTGCCTCCTTGCTTGATCTTTCTCAAAAATAAACATTAGGAAAAATAATAAGTGAGTCGAAGAAAGACAAATACCATATGATTTCACTCATATGTGGTATTTAAGAAACAAAACAGATGAACATATGGGAGGGGGGAAAGAGAGAGGGGGACTAATCACAAAAGGCTCTTAAAGTAAAGAACAAGCTGAGGGTTGATGAAGGTAGGTGGGTGGGGGATGGGCTAGATGGGTGATGGCTGTTAAGGAGGGCTCTTGTTATGATCAGCACTGTGTGTGGTATGTAAGTAATGAATCACTGAATTCTACTATATTGCTCTGTATGTTAGCTAACTAGAATTCAAATAAAAATTTGGAAAAAATATTTTGATGTTTTATTTTTATGTTATTATAAATGGGATTATTATCTTTATTTCTTTTTATTGTTAGTATTTGGAAATGCAACTGAATTTTGTATTTTGACTTTGTACTCTGAGTTTACTATTTTTTTTTTAGTCTTGTTTTTTAGTGATGTCTTTTGGATTTCCCTATACAAGATTGTGACATCAATAAACTGAGACAATTTTACTTCTTTTCTGATTTTGATAACTTTTACTTCTTTTCCTTTTGTAATTGCTTCTGGCTAGCATCTCTGGTACTATATTGAGTAGGAGACGTGAGACTCGGTACATTTGGTTTGTTCCTGGTTTTAGATGGAAAACTTTAAAGTTTCACTGTTGGACATGTTTGCTGTTATTATGTAGATGTATTATATTTCTTTAGTCAATTTATTATTGGGAGTTTATACCATGAATATTTTTTTTGGATTTGTCAAATGTTTTACTACATAAATTTAAGATTATTATATTAATTGTTTTATTTTATTCCATTAATGTGGTGTATTATATAGATTGGTTTTAGTATGTGAAATCATCTGTGAATAAAAGGTATAAATCCCCCTTAATCATGTTGTGTGATCATTTGAATATGCTGTTAAATTCAGTTTGGTAGGATCTTAACTGAGAATTTTCACGTGTATATTCTTTAAGCATATTGGCCTGTATTTTTATTTGATTATGATACTCTATTCTGGCTTTTTTATATGGGCAGTGCCATTATTACAAAATTAGTTTGAGAGTGTTTCCTCCTATTCAAATTTTTGGAAGAGTTTGAGAAGATTACGGATGAATTATTTTTCAAATGATTAATGCAACTGACCCATGAGACTGATCCTTGTCTTGGTTACTGATTCAATGTCCTTTGTTGTTACTTATCAGTTTACTTTTTTTTTTTTTTTCTTTCTTCATGGTTAAGATTTGGAAGGATGTGTGTTTTAAGGAATGTATCCCTTTTATGTAGGTTATCCATTCGCTAACATGATTTTTCATAGTTGTCTTTTTATTGTATTTGTGTATCCATTGCAATGCTTCCTCTTTCATGCATAATTTTATTTACTTGGTTCCTCTTATCTTGGTAATTCTAGCTAAAGTTTACTCAATTTTATTTTTTAAATTATTTTTCTGTTTGCTGTTTCAATTATTTCTGCTCTGATATTTGTTATTTCCTTTCTTCTGCCAACTTTGGGCTTAGTTTTTTCTTGTTTTTCAAATTCTATGAGGTGTGAAGTTACATTGAATATTTAATATTTTGTTATTTTTATTTTTTTGTTTTTTTAAATGTGGGCATTTTGCTATGGTTTATAATTTTTATGCTGTGATTTCATTTTTAATTGTTTCAAAACTTTTCCTTTCCTTTTTTGATTTCATCTTTAAACCACTGGTCATTCAAGAGTGTGTTGTTTAATTTGTTCATATTAGTGAATTTTCCAGAATTCCTCCTTTTATTGATTATCAGTTTCATATATTTGTGGTCATAAATAACACTTGATATAATATCAACTTATTAAAATTTCCTGGGACTTGTTCTGCAACCTAACATATGACCTATCCTGGGGATTGTTTGTTGTGCCCTTGAGAAGAATGGATGAATTTTCTTTTTAATAATGGTCATGTCCACTTGGTTTAAAGTTCAAGTCCAATATTTCCTTATTGATATTCCATTCATTGTTAAAAGTGGAGTATTGGAGGCCCCCACTATCATTGTATTTTTGTCTATTTCTCACATATATATAAGTATTTGCTTCATATATTTAGATATTGTGATGTTTGGTTTATATATATTTATAATTTTTATAGCTTATTAAATTATTCATCTGTTTATCATTATATAATGGTCCTCTTTGTCTATTGCTACACTTTTTGACTTAAAGTTTATCTTTTCTGATATAAGCATAGCTAGCACTCCTCTCTTGGTGTTTATTTATGTGAAATATATTTTTTCAATATTTTTATTTGAGACTATGTATATCATTGAAACTGAAATAAGTATGTTGGAAACAAAATATAGGTTGATTTTTAAAAATTTTTTCATTTATTTACTTTTGAGAGACAGAGAGAGACAAAGCATGAGCAGGGGAGGGGCAGAGAGAGAGGAAGATATAGAATCCGAAGCAGGCTCCAGGCTCCAAGCTCTCAGCACAGAGCCCAATGCAGGGCTTGAACTGACAAACTGCGAGATCATGACCCAAGCTGAAGTCAGACGCTTAACCAACTAAGCCATCAGGCACCCCTAGGTTGGTCTTTTTTATCCACTCACCTACTCTGTACATTCTTATTTTATGACTTAATACACTTAAAGCAATATTGACAATAATTTAAATTAACTGTTGATAGTTAATTTTACTATTGCCATTTTGTTCATTGTTTCTTGGATTTTTTTTGTTTGTTTGTTTTGATTTGTTTTGTTTTGTTTTTGTAGTTGTTTGTTCCTCTTTTCCTCTCTTGCTGTTTGTTTTCTGTTGTGAATTCATGATTTTCTGTAATGGTATACCTTGATTCTGTTAACTTTATTTTGTGTGTATCTAATATAGGTATTTGTTTTGTGGTTATTTTTAAATCTTAATTGAAATATATTATGATAGAAAAAAACATATTTTAAGTTGATAACAACCTAATTCTATCACCTACTAAACCTCTACATTTTTACACTTTCTCCCACATTTAACGTGTTTGATGTTATAATTCACATATTTTATGCTATGTATCCATTAGCAAATTATTGTAGTTAAGGTTATTTTGAATTATTTTTGTCTTTCAACCTTATACTAGAGTTCAGTGGTTAACATACCACCATGTTACAATTATTAGAGTATTCTAAATCTGACCATATACACTTTTTAATGGGTGTGTTGTATGTTTTCACATACGGTAAAACCTTGGGTTGTAAGTAAGTTGGTCTGAGTGTGCCTCAAGATGAGCAAACATTTCTAATAAATTTTAACTTGATAATTGCACAATGTTTTCCAATATGAGTAGTATATGATGCTGAACATCACATGATAACAACTGAGCCAATGGTTCTTCCCTCTCTCTCTTTTGCTGTGGGATTGTGGGTGATCGTCTCCCATGCTCAGATGCTCAGTCTCAGACTGTGGTGTTTGGCAGAAATCAGTAATGTATCAGAATGTTGGAAGGTGCCCACAACTGGCATTAGTGTATTTTTTTGTTACTTCAAAGAACCTATGGACAGTGCTTTACTTTTCCATACAAGAGTAAGCTTAGGAATGTTTTGCTGCATGCTAGGTCAGGCTGTCTGCACATATAGACCCTTTCTTCTGTGGCCTTATTGCCAGTTAAAGTATATACAGTATATACTTTATATATACTGTATATATATACAGTATATAAACTCTTTTATTATTTTTATTATTTTATTATTACTGCACTGGAGTCAACATCTGTATGATGTTTATTATTATTATTATTTATTATTTTATTTATTATATTTATTTATTTATTTATTTTAAGAGTTTATTATTACTGCACTGGAGTCAACATCTGTATGAGCATACAGAATGGTCCCATGCAGAAAAATGTACCATTGAGCCCATAGAGAGCAGTGATTCCATTAGTGATAATGAAAGACATCCTACGCAATAACCCTCCTCTCTCATGTCTCCCGCATACCAGCAGTGAAGATTTTCAAAGGTATGTGCAGATTAATTTATTTTTCTTTATATTTTGTATTTTATTAATTATGTTGCATTATATTATAGTATTATATTCATTTTTATATGAATATTTTTGGATCGTGGAACAAATCATTTGAGTTTCCATTATTTCTTATGGATAAATTCACTTTGATATACAAGTCCATTGGATTACATGCATGTTTCTGGAATGAATTTTGCTTGCAAACCAAGGTTTTACTGTATTTTCATGTTCATAATTATTGTTCTTTTATTTCTTCTTGAAGAATTATTTTTGGATTTCTTGTAAGGTATTTCTTGTGTAAAGGAACTCCCTCAGCTTTTGTTTGTTTGGGGAAGCTTTTTTTAATTTTTAATTTTAATTTTAATTTATTTTGAGAGAGAGACAGAGAGTGAGCAGGGGAGGGGCAGAGAGAGAGGGGGACACAGAATCCAAAGCAGGTTCAGGCTCCGAGCTGTCAGCACAGAGACCAATGTGGGGCTTGAACTCATGAACTGTGAGATCATGACCTGAGCTGAAGTCAGATGATTTAACTGACTGAGCCACCCAGGTGCCCCTGGGGAAGTTTTTATTTTACCTTCACCTAAATAATTACTTTGCCCAAAAATGTATTTTGGGGGGCATGTGGGTGACTCAGTCAGTTAAGAGTCCTACTCCTGATTTTGTCTCAGGTCATGATCTCTCTGACCATGTGATGGAGCCCCATGTGTGCTGACATCATGGAGCCTACTCAGGATTTACTCTCTCATTCTCTCTCTGCCCCTCCCTTGCTCACACAACCTTTCTCTCTCTCAAAATAAGTAAGTAAGTAAATAAATAAATAAATAAATAAATAAAATTAAAAATAATAATAATTAAAAAAAATGGATCAAAATGGGAAACACAGAAATATACCCACAACTATATGGTCTACTCATCTTTGAAAAAGCAGGAAAGAACATCTAATAGAAAAAAGACAGTCTCTTCAACAAATGGTGTTGGGAAAACTGGATGGTGACATGCAGAAGAATTAAACTGGACCACTTTTTTAGACCATACACAAAAATAAATTCAAATTAGATGAAAGACATAAATGTGCGGCAGTAAACCATTTCTTCTTGAGGAGAAAGCAGGCCGCAACCTCTTTGACCTCAGACACATTGGGCAATTTCTTACTAGGCACATCGCCAAAGGCAAGGACAACAAAAGCAAGCATAAACTATTA